TTATTTGTTAATTTCAGTGTTGGGGGTAACGCAATACAAGTAACGTGAGTTACGTAATCATATTACTTTTTTCAAGTAACTAGTAAAGTAACGCATTACTTTTTAATTTACAAGAGAATATCTGAGTTACTTTTTCAAATAAGTAACGCAAGTTACTTTTTTTTTTTCAAATTTATTGATTGACAGCTCTCCTGTCCCCATGTTGTGAGAAATCAGATGTTACTGTAGTTCTAAAATAAATATGAATATGCATTAATTCATCTCACTCACAAAAAAAAAACACAGATTCAGTATTCCTCAAAATGAATAAAAATAATGCAACTCAGAATATGATGCAAACCTGCAATAATTAAATGTTAAACAACACAAATATCCTTTATGTATTTAATCCCATTCTATTAACCAATGTCTTTGCTTCTGACCTTCAATGATCCAGTTCAACCGTACTAATAAGCAAAAATTACTCTAGACAAACATTTGTGTGTCTTTTTTTATTGCTGAATTGTGTTGAAATGTCTTCTTCTGCATTCTACTGTACGGACGTAAATTTACTTTCCCTTCAGCCTGAGGCTTATTCATTTCACTTTTGGTGTGAAAAGGCTTTTATATTTGCCAAAAATATAACTTTTTTATTTTAAAAACAAACAAGCAAGCCCTGTCCAGATTTGAAAGTAACGCAAAAGTAACGTAACACATTACTTTCCATGAAAAGTAACTAAGTAACGTAATTAGTTACTTTTTTTATGGAGTAACGCAATATTGTAATGCATTACTTTTAAAAGTAACTTTCCCCAACACTGCTTAATTTCTTCAGTTGTTTAGTTTTCCTGAAATTGAAGTCTCTTTCTTCCTTTCTTTTAAATGTTTTCATTTTCATTATTTTATTTTGTTCATTCCTTTATTTATTTGATCTTTCTTTATAATTTATTTGTTAATTCCTGTGATTGTTCATTATTTGTGTGTTTTAATTTTTAATTTATTTTGTAATTAGTTTATTTATTCCAATTCTTTCTTTATTTCTTTCTTTCTTTTTGAATGGACACTCATGCGTTAAATCGCTCTCATTCTTTCTTTCACACTCTCTGATTGAGTTGCTCTAATTGTAGATAAATAAAGCATGATGTCATCTGCTAATGTGTTTTGGCTCTCCCTCTCCTTTCTTATGCTGTAGTTCACAATAGCATTTTAAAACTACTTGCACTTTGTTGCTCACCATCATGTAATTTCATACCTGGTGTGACTTTCTCACTTCTGTGGAACTGAAATTTTGAAAAATGATTCATTCTGCTCTTTTCCATATAATGAAAGCTTGTATGACTTGAGAAGGATTGGAAAAGAATAGTGCAAACATTTTGTATAAACTCAATCTCCTTTTGTGCTCCACAGAAGAAAGTAAGTCATACAGGTTGTAATGAGTGTGAGTAAAACAGATTTCTCATGAAGCACTCTGTTTTGAACCTTTATAAATATGATTTAAGAGTCCAGGGGCCTGTACCATGAAGCCGGTTTAGCTGGCTAGCCAGGTAAGTTTCAGTTTAGTTTGAGTTTTAGGTACCATGAAAGTGGCTTGGCGTTTAGCTGCGTTCATTACCATAGTAACTTATACTCCACAGATAACCTGCTCCAGGGCAGGTTATGTTCTGGTTTAGAGATCTCAAACTGAAATTTGACCAATCATGACAGACATGACACATGTCTGACGCAATAAAGCCACTCCCCCAGTTTCTCTTACTCCAAATTAAAGGACACTACTTAGTAAAACCTTTTTAAAGATAAAATTGTCTGAATTTAGAGATGATTATTTTTTATCATTATTTTATATGATTTATATAATTATTATACCCTTAATCCATTACACAAACTAGCTTAGTGTAATAGTAATTATTAAGCTTTTATTTTTTATTAATATAAAAATATAGATAATATGCAATATAAATAAGTTTTAGAATCAATAGCTTCAAACATGACTACATATGAGCTTAGATTTTTAAGTGTTTTTATACCTATAAATATTATCAACTCTATGAACTAACTTTACAACTTTTACTTGCACTTATAAGGCAAGATGTTTTCTTTAAGTTTTCCTCTTTCATGGATAGATCGTTTCATCTTGTAAATGTGTTTAAATTCTTCATATTGTTCAGTATTTTAATCTTTGGTAGTGAATCGCACTGACTTTCTCTCAAGAAGTGAATCACAGTTTCAAGGCGTCTGATTGGCTGTTCATTACTGATGTCACTCTTTCATGTGCACGCGCTCCATTAACTCAGGATCAAGCCTGAGTTGACAGAGAAAGTTGATGATCAGCTTCATGGTACCAACAAAGCTGGATTGAACTGGTTTGATTTTGTCAGCTCAAAACTAATCCTGTAACCCCGAGTTTGTTCAGCCACCATCATGGTACAGGCCCCAAGTTTACTGAACTTAAAACAATAGTTTGTTGGGTAGCATTATTGTACGGAATTTACAAAGGAACAAATGAAATAGAAAGATCAAATAAACAAAAAAGGAATAAACAGAAAAAAAAAACTAATGAAAATGATCAAACATTTGTTCAACAATTGCAGGAATGAGCAAATGAACAAAAGAAATAGAAAAATCAAACGAACAACCATTTAGGATGGATGGATGGATGGATGAATGAACTGTAAAACTGCATGAACAAATGAGCAAAAAAAGATCAAAGGAACAAAGTAACAAAAGAATAAACAAAAATAAAAAAGGAAAGATCAAATAATTGAAATAAATATATAAATAAAAATAAATAAATAAATAAATAAATACTGAAGAATTGCCTGTATGAACAATTGAGCAAAATGTTTAAAAGTTCAATTGAATAACAAAAGAAACAAACAGTTTGAATAAATAAATAGACTGAACTTCTGGATGAATTCATAAATAAAAAAAACAAAAACAATAAATGAACAAACAAACAAAAAGAATATCAAAGGGACAAACTAACGAATGTACAAAAGTGAAAGATGGAAAAACAAAACATTTAAGCTCAAACAAATTAATTAATGAACAAATTAACAGGAAAGAAAGTCATACAGTTTGTATCAACATGAGTCTGAGTAAATGATGATTTACATTTTTGTTAAAAACGCTCCTTCATAACCTTTATAAATATTATAGAGTTCACAAAGTTTATTGAACTTAAAGCATTAGCTTTGCAGGTGGCATTATTGTGATAAAGCACAATAATTGTTCCTCATTTGTTTGTGCAGGTTAAAGCAAATCCAGAGTCTGGACTCTAGTTCAAGCGTGTGTGTGTGTGTGTGTGTGTGTGTGTGTGTGTGTGTGTGTGTGTCTGATGATTTTCTCTGGCAGTTGGTTTGACACTTTCCTGCTGCGTCACTCTCTCGGCATATGCATCCATGTCTGGGAACAGCGTGCCGTTGCCAAGTTCCGGTTGGCATGGTAACGCGTGTTGGATTAAAGTGTTTTGTGTAGATTTAGTTTGCTCTCTGATGGAGCTTATTTACAGTGAAGAGGAACAGACACACAGTGGTAATAAAAGTGATGAGACTTTCCTTCTTCTCCAGGGAAATTGCTGAAATCCCCGCTTGTTTTGCTCTAATCACATTTAATGTGACTGATCCAGTGTTCTGTGAAACTGTAGAGTCTCAAGCTACAAGCGACTCATGATTTAACATAGTTAAAGAACATACAGTCACACTGCCCTTTTGAAAAGGAGCTTTTAAAAAAACTGCACTATACAAGCAACTTACATAAAGCGCTTCTAAGCTATTCAAAGGGACAATGTACTGTATCTTAAACTAGATCAGATCATCATAAATGGATTGTATAATTTAATCAGAGAAGTATTTCTGGTTAAAGAACAAGAGTTTCAAATGAATGGATCTTGATTACAGTGACAGCATTACACTTAAATGAACGCTAAATACAACTAGAATAGAGTTAAAAACAGAGATGAATGGCAGTGTTTAACAAATTGTTTTAGTATTAAGACAGACTTCTGTGCATAGAGACGAATCATTGAAAAATTTCAGTTTGAATTGACCCTTCGCCAAGACCCGCCCCCCTTAGTTACTGTTGCTACGTCCGACAAGCCATGGCGCTCTAACACCACACATCATGTTCTCACGCTGTGAAAAATACATCGCAAAGAGGAAACTGACAACGTGCCGACAGACAAGACAGAGTATGAAACAAAGTCTCAGCTTTCAAATGTTGTCATTTTTTTTAAAACTTCAAACTATAAATACCGTTTTGTGGCTCTTTAATGTGTCGTGACAGATCGCTGTAGCACCTCAGTTCAAGCGGCATGTGAACCGTTCATCTCTTCCTCTTTACTAGTTATAGCACAAAATAAACATGAATGAACATCAGAAGGTATCTTGTTTCAACCGCGAAAAGATGTCAGTACACGCCATTTCTCAAGTTTAAGTCCACTGACGTTAGTCTACTCTCCTGTCTGGTTTGTTTGTCAGACAAAATGGTAGATGCGGCGTCATGATTGGTCAGATCACCTGTCAATCAAACTCCCGGAGAAGGGTGAATTGGTTCATTTACATGAATCGGTCATAATTTAGATATAAATGGGTCATTGAATATACTTTGTCCTGACAGTAGGAGTATTCATTTGAGGTGTTTTGTTTGCGGTGTGGTCTATCTGTATCTTTGATGTTTTCCTGATATTGTCCCAGCAGTTTAGCTGCATCTACTACATTGTAAAAAGCAAGAAGGTGGTCTTTCAGGCGGTTTCTGCTGATTTCCTCCAGGTGACCCCGCTGACCTCCTGTGGGCTATAATAAGTAATTTCTGCTCTCTGCTGCAAAGCGTCAAACCTCACTGTTATTGATTCTCTCCAGACTTCACAAGCTTTGCCCGAGATGAAGACGAGCCTTCAAACAAAAGGGTGCTTGCAGTCGATATTGATTCTTCCGTGTGTTCAAAAGAGAGCGGTGAAAAAGTGAGTGTCTTCAATGATCCTAAACAAGAATCTTTCCTTCTGTTTTTCTCACGTTCTCTTTCAGGGGAACCGTTGAGGCGCGATTCGTCTACGTTTTCGTCCTCGGTATCTTGTTCACCGGCGTGAAGGACCTGTTGCGTTCGCAGGTGATGTCGTCAGCGGTGGACAGCAGGCGGCTGAAGAGCAGGGGACTGTGGGAAGTGTACAGTGGCGTGGTGTTATTGGTGGCTCTGTTGTTCAGAGCTCATAATTTGCCCACGCTGGCCTGCTGTCTGCTCATCCAGACAATCATGGCTCAGTTCATCTGGAAGAAGCTCCACTACGATGCCGCCCAGACCACCATCATGCACTACTGGTTCGGCCAGGTTTTCTTCTACTTTCAGGTAATGAGGAGAGGAGAGCATCTATAAGAATGGCTTTGTTAAGTGTAGACAATAGAGGTCTGGTTTCCTCCATTAATGCATATTGATTAAATAATTGCAGTTTCATTGTTCTCAGGATGTTTTTACACATTCGGGTCGATCGCTCTGCCCAAACCCAAGTTGGATTCCATCAAGAGTTTGAACACTTTTCACATTGGATTGATGAATGGTTCACATTGAAATCGTGAATAAGACTGATTCGGGCTATTTGGCACCGAATCTTGTTATGTTTGTGTTATCAACGTTGTAATACCACCACTGAGAGTAGTTAATGAAGAAGCGAAGGCAGTAAAAATGGGAAGCAAGTATAGAAAGAAAATGTTTTTGTATGGCTTAACTAACAAAATTGTACACATGCAAAACTGTACTTTTGATTTTCTGGTGCAGTGTTGTTGTTCTAAACTAAAACCATTAAAAAAAAAAAAAAAAAAAAACTACAATAAAATATCAATATTAGGAAAATAATAAACATAAATACTATTTAGAAATGTTGCCTTGACCACTAATATTAAAAATATTAGACATAAAAAAAACTTAAAATTAAAATTAGAAATGTTGTCTTGGCAACTAACTGAAATAAAAAGTTATGTTAAAATACTAAAATTACTAAAACTAAAACTGAAGTGAAAATCAATTAAAGTTAAATATAAATAAATAAAAATGGCACTAGTACACAACAAAATATAAAAATACAAGCTAATTCAGTGTTGAGAAATTTTTTTTTTCTTAGTAATCTTGTGGAAACTGTGATGCATTTTTTCAGGATTCTTTGATGAATAATGTAATAGAAATATTTTGTAACATTATAACTGTCTTTACTGTCACTTTTGATCAATTTAATGCGTCCTTGCTGATAATAATAAGATATCACAGGAATATATTACATTTTAAAATATCAAATAGAAAATGATTTTAAATTGTAATAATATTTTACAATATTACAGTTTTTACTTTTTTTTTTCATAAAATAAATGCAGTTTTGGTAAGCAGAAGAGACTTCTTTTAAAAACGTTGCATATTTGTAATTATTCCAAACTTTTAGTATAAATGACTAACATTAGTATAAAATGACATCAAAACTGACAGACATGAAATAAAAGTCACCAAACTTTTTGTCCGACCATTGGCAGACGGGTGGACTGTTTATAAACCTGATCAAAATAGTCATGTTTATAATGATACATCAAGAGTAAATCAAATCAAATCAGAGCTGAGTTGTGTGTGTGTGTGTGTGTGTGTGTGTAATTAAGGGTCATAAACGGTGCTTTACTGGCCAATTATCATTTAAAGCGCCCGAGCATGGAATTATGGGCTTGACAATGACATCATCATCAAAAGGACAGTCAGGGTCAATGCAACTGAACTGTCAAAGGACGGATATATTCTTCTCTATTTCTAGCCATTAAGCAGGGTGGAAGTGATTGTTAATTGTAAATTGTCACATTGATTTAGCTCATTTTGTCAGGCCAGGCCCTTTTTCCGCCCCCACCCTGACACGGCAAACTAGCATGAAATAATGGGACTAAGAGAGGCAAGAGGAGAGCGTTGAGAAGGAGGATTTTCCAATCTGCCTGTCCTGACAGGAGCAGCCGGAGTGACAGGCACAGCCTCCTGCCACTGACAGGAAAGAGCAGGATATGTTAGTTTATTTCCCCTCTTCTTCATCCGTCTATCAGCCGAGGGACCCTCAGACTCGAGTCTGTCAGCAGAGACTAGAAACACACGGCGCTTCTCTCACCACACCTGAATAACTGCAGGATGCCTCAAACTAGACATGTGCCGGTATTCGGTAACGCGATATATCATGGTAATGAATATGCACGGTATTGTTATCGTGGGCTCTTCTAAATACCGTGAATAATTATATATTACAAATTATTCCGAATTATGAATGCATTTTAAGAATACTTTTCCCATCAACTGGTCAAAATGCACAACACCGCTGTATGCTTTTTTTAAACTAAATTTCAATATCGTGATAATACCGCATACCGTGATAAAAGCATTAGCAATTAACCGCAACATGAAAATTTGATACCGGCATATCCCCTACCTCAAACCTCTGCTGCATCACTTTACTACTGTTTATATCAGCCGTTTCCAAACTTTCTTTGTCAGCTGGACCCCTCAGATGTAAAATATTTACCTGAAATCCCGCTTGAAATTTTAGGTTATTGTTTAAATCATTTAATAACACATTGGCGTGTCCATGGTTAATGTTGGTTAATGGTCAAATGACATGAATGTTTTAATTTAGCAACTGTTTTATTTTTTTATTATTATTTTGTTTAAATTGTTTACATATATATGTCTGAACATATATAGGGATTATTATTATTAATGTTCATGGTTCTCTGATGTTGGTTAATGGTCAAATGACATGAAAGTTTTTTTAAATAATTTTTTTGTTAATGTTTTATTTGAATTTGTTTTTATTTTGAA